GTAATGGGGAAAAAATAAGAACCAAGATACATCATGTACAGGTACAAGCACCCAATGATAAATGTAAATGTATTGTATACTTAAAATGTACCAATAAAAGAACTTAAGCAAAAACAAAACAAAACCCCCAAATAGATAAAATTTCTAAATTGAAACCTGTGGGTGCCAGATTCTGCTCTCTCTCTCTCTCTCTCTCTCTCTCTCTCTCTCTCTCTGATTGTAGTGAGAAGCAGCCTGCAGCTGTATTAGCTCTTGTTTAGCTGAGTTGGCTTCTTTTTGAGAGATCCTGAGTGTCAAAGGATGCCCTTGCTGGGGTCTTTGCTGACAACCTTAAGGAGCCATTTGACTGCACTTTCCAGATGTGCTAGCTCTGGTCAGATGGGCCCAACCACAGCAGGCACAGGATTCTGCAGAGAGAGGGACACAAGGCTCCCTCTGCATGTAATTAGGCAGTCACATCTCACTGGGGAAATGCCTCCTGACCTCTGTTGATGCTCTGCCTAAGAAGCTAAGGATTTAGGACCATTGAGAGAAAGATATGACTGTATTAAAAGGTCCTTGTCCCTCCACTCAGTAATGTAAAGGCCTGTCTTTCATTGCTGGGTGCTCAGCTCTCATTAATGGAACATGAGCTATTCCCAGTCAGCCTCAGGAAAATATATTGAACCATAGGTGCAAAAGCACCTTTTAGCTTTACTGGCTCATGTAGACCATCCCTTCTAACATAGTCCTGCATTATACACACTACCACCAGCAGGGGTATCCTTATAGGCACTCCTTGAGAGGGGCTACCATAGAGAGGGTCTTACTGAGTTGAGGGTGTTGCTAATCCTCAATTGTATTGCCTGATGACCAACAGACCCACCACCCTCCTGCCATCAAGGAACTGGGGTTAAGGATGTCAGGAAAATGCAGAGACACTGGTGTTGCTGAGCCCTAGTGATGATGGTTTTTGAGGACTAGGTTCCTTCACCTTGACTTTGAAATATGTTCGGTAATAGCTGAGACATTTCTACCCTTCATGTGAAGTAAATGGGTAAATGAAGCATTGTTGAGTAAAAGGAGCTACAATTTAAGCCCAATGTATCTGGAAGTGATGACACTTTTCTTGCAAAATGAGATCATTTCTACTGTATCTATGGTTTGCTCTTTCCTTTTTTTTCCAGCACCCCTGGCTACATATTTGGAAAGCGCATCATCCTGTTCCTGTTCCTCATGTCCCTTGCTGGTATATTCAACTATTACCTCATCTTCTTTTTCGGAAGTGACTTTGAAAACTACATAAAGACCATAACCACCACTATCTCCCCTCTACTTCTCATTCCTTAACTCTCTGCTGAATTCAGGGCTGGCACTCTCAGCTAATCAATACCTAGAAGTCATCATAACTCAACACTTTACAGGATTTAACTCCTCTTTAGATAGCTGTAAATCTGATGACCATCTGGGCTTCACAGCTTGAGTTAGCCTTGCTTTTCCAGAAAGAAAAGAAAATTTCATATCAGCTCTGCCCCTCAAAAATGGCAGTGACCCCAGATTTGTTATTCAGATCCATTCTGTATATTTCATGATGTACCATTCTGTCTGAAGATATTTTGTGACCAGATATACGTTTTCCTAAAATAAAATTCACAAACAAGTTTGAGACTGATGACTGTTTTTTTGAGAGGGGTATACATTTATAGTTGAATTAATTTGTTTTCTTCAGTCTAAATGATAATAAAATACACTATCAATCCTAGGACAGAGATAACCCCAAGCACATACACTGTATGGATTTGGTTGGTATTTTTATACTCTGGCTTTGTGCCCAACAATTAGCACCTCATGAAGTTTAAAATGTATTGTAGCTCTAAGCAGCCAAGCACCTTGAAGCTCCGCGGCTGTCCCAGGCCACGCCCACGGCACGGTGAGGTCTGCTTAGCCATTTCGGCGTCTCTAATGCCCAGTCCCGCCCCGGCCCCCCGCCCCTCGCCGCCTACCTTCTGGCTTTTCTGCTACCTGGTCCCACACTACAGAGGCACAGGAGATTATAAAGACCCTTGTCCTGAGCACCACAAGATAGAGCAGAAGTTAGTAACAGAAAGAGGACCTCTCAGGCTCCTCGATGAAAACTGAAGCTCAG